GCTGTCGGTCCCATGAAGCAAAATACACAGCATACAGGTGTATACCCAAGAGATTTTCAACAGTTCTCCTTACCACTTTTTTTGCGACAACTGAAGTTTAGCGGATCTATGAAGCATACTACTTCGCGCACAGTTCTATTCTCAACTTTTTCACCCTGCCAAAGTTTGTGCGGAAAGTAAAGCTGTCGGTCCCGCGTGGGAGGTTACGGCGTAGCGGCGGCGGAAGAGGCGTCCACCGCAGCGACAGCGGCTGTGCCGCCACCTCCTCCTCCTCCTCCTCCGCCGCCGCCGCTTCCCCCGTTCAAAAAGGCGGTGCCGGCGATATCCTCGCCGCTGTGGTGCAGCAGCAGAGCGGCTGCATTAGGGTGGCGACGCTGTAGCTGGCTGCCGCCAATGTGCGCCAGGGTCGTGCCTTCCCATGTGGTAGACCGAGACGACAGCCCTCCACCTGCACATGCGACGTACAGAGGGTTAAACACCTATTGGTCGACTGATTATTTTGAGATTCCGTGCGGGTCATGTGTTGTTGGTCATAAGTCCAGTAAGTGATGTGTGTGTGTGTGTGTGTGTATTCATGTCGAATCGGTGGCGGCGTTCTTCCTCCAGCTGGATGAGGAGATCCGGCGACGACTTACCTGTCAGCAGGGATTTTACGATCCACTTATCTCACACTTCTGGTGCACCGGCTCTCGCAGGCCGGGACCTGCTCTAAGCTCCCGAGCGGTCAACGGGACTGCAGTGATATCGGTCGGCGACGGATCTCACCATCCGGCAGAGGAAGATAACCGCCTCCTCTAGAGGAAGAAATATAGACTACACTTACGGGAATAATAACTTTGGCAATTGACGTGACCGGAATCACCAAACAATCAAGAGAAGGAACGATCCCATTTGGCGCTGATTAAATCTACAAACTATCAAAAATCAATATGAACATCCTTGAAAATATCCATAATGTCATCAATTGTTATCATTTCTCTTCGATTTCTGCATGTTGTCTGGCGGGACAGAGGGGTAAGACAATTTTAAATGGAAACGGTTGAGCTACTTTCTATATCTAAAGACTCTAATTGTTCCGATTATCTGCCGTTTTTCGTACCCTCACCATACCCCCTCCCCCAACTCCAACGCCGGAGTTCTGTCTCCTTACAGTTTTAATATTATTTTCATTAATAGAATATTAACAATCTATTTTATAGGAGAAATGTGTTGTAAATAGACACACATTTGCATGGATTCAACAACGTCGGGAAACTTGTCTGAACCTTAGGAGCTTGTCTCGGCAGTAGGACAGTACCTTGCTTGTGTGAGATACCTGAACAGGGAAAACGCATAAACCGACGTGTAGACCGCCGCCGTTTCTCGCCATCACAGCCACCTCACGTGATAAAACATGTACTACACTTACCAGGACTACTGACCTTCACAGTAGAGAGGCTTGGAAACACGAAATAATCACTCAGCCAACCAACGTCTGGAAATGAACCCCAATCAACATCGACCTCATAATCAGAGCGTAGGTGGAGAATGCGATATCGCTGTCGATGTTTTGGAAACATGTATATTTTAAACATCAATATATTAATTCCGATGTTTTTTGAACATCGATATTTTGTGCTAGATGCATTTACGTTTTTTTAAATTATGGATGAGACATTTTTATTATCACCAATTTGTAAAAGTTAAAATATGAAATAATATCTGACTTGATACTTCTTTCATCTAGCGCACTATCACTTGCCCCAGATGATGCTTATCATCTTGTTTTTCCTTTGACGTTCTTCGTACTTTTTCCTGAGGCGTTTTACGATGTTATTTTGAGGCAATATTTTAATTATAAGTTAATATCAAATATAACTGTCAAATTTTGTTGGGCATGAATTGCGTGTTTGAGAAAACCAAAATCAGCTTTAAAACATCGATGTTTAAAAACATAATTGGTTTTTGGTCGATGTCTTAACCTGAAATGTTTTTATGTTGAACATCGATGTTTGTCAACGTCGATGTCGCATCACTAAAACGTGTTACTTACACACTGACCCTTAAGTGCCCTTTACTAATATTCATGTCGGGAGGCCAATCCCGGCTGGGGCGGTGCCTTGCTGGAGAGAGATACCTAGGCAGGGAATATCCCTCAAGCCTGCGTTAGATCGGCGCCGGTTCTCACCATCACAGCTACCTCACGTGATAGACAACGTGCACTACACTTACGAGACAAATAAACCAAAACTGTTGACTCATCCGGAAACACGAAATCAATCAACCAACGCCTTGGAATGTACCCCAATCTATTTCGTCTTCACGAATGAAACATAGTTATGTTAAATAAGATGTTTTTTAACAACGATTTTTTGTGTTCGATGTTTTTACGTTTTTTATATTTTATTTGTGGATGAAGAATTTATATTATTTAAAATTTGTAAGAGTAAAATATGAAATAAAATCTGCCTGTTTACTTCTTTAATCTAGCTTACTATCCCTCGCCCGAGATGATCCAGATCATCTTATATTTCTTTCAACTTTCACCGTATTTTTACGTGGAAAGGCGTTTCATAACTTTATTTTCAGTTAAATTTTTCTTCTAAATTAAGATACACGACCTCTGTCAAATTAAATATTGTTGCGCGCAAATTCAATGGTTGAGATTACCTGTACAAAACACGGATGTTTAAAAAGCTGGATAGTTATTGGTTTTAACGTCGATGTTTTAAGTTTGACCGTACCTCCGCCGCCGCATCTGTCGCGCAGGCGCGTGGACGAGGAGAGCGTGCTGGCCAGCCCGCCGCCGCCGCAGCCGCGTCGGCTGGTGCCCGTGGTGAGGCTGTAGCTGCCGCGCCGCCCCGCGCTGCCCCCGCCGCCGCCGCCGCCCCCGAAGCCTCCACCGAACCCGCCGCCGCTGCCGCCGCCGCCGCCTCCGCCACCGCCGCCGCCGCCCTTGCCTCCGCGGCCCAGCTTGCGCCGCCGCCGCCGGCAGCGCAGGCATAGCAGGTACCTGCGAAAAGCATTCACGGTCAAGCCTGGCTTAGTTCAATCTACAGTATGTGTCGGAAGAAATGTTGCCAATTTCTAGGACACATATAAACGTCGAAAAGACTACTTTGAGCAAATGAACGAACAATGGGAAATCGCATGCAACGAAGTCATGTGCATTTTTATATTGACATTTTCTACTGGTTTCTGGGCAACCCCGTATGCACAGACGCTCGGCAGGTTCATGCAATTTCCTTGACTGCGTCAGAAAGTGACCTGCCAAACATCTGTGCTTCAGGAATGTCCTAGAATCAGGGGAAAATATCACGTAAGTAACTCCGTTCTATGAAATTTTCCTCTTCTCGTTCAATGACAAAAAAATAATCATTTTATATTCCTCTCATTGCCCGAGAAGTTTGTGACATTCATTCTCAGACATTCTGGACTTAATGAAGTGGAAAGGAAGAAAAATATTTAAAGAAGTAGGTCTACCTTCTGATTTCAACCATATTAGTTTTTTTTTTATCAGATCGCTTATTCCCAGTAAATATTCAGACAAACCTTTCCAATTCTCGTCCCATCTTGCCGGGTGTTCTACAAGTCTTCCCTTCCCCCCTCCTCTCTTTTACTGTCAACGAAACTGCATCTCATATTATAAACACAGCATCATTTTCAGATACCACTTAACTATTTCTTTTTGGATCCGAACTAAACATCTCTCCGACTTCAGAGGCACTAACACCAAATCAAAAAATGGACTACCAAATGGAGAATTGTACTCTGCTCTTAAAACATTGTCGCAGAAATCTTCAATCCTTTTCATCCACCCCATCCACACACATTTCTACTAAAGGCCTCTCCCATGTGATCAGTCTATTACCTAAATTTTCCTTTAGATAGAAATCTTACCAGGAAAGATCACACAGAAACCAAAAGTTAGCAAATCAATCAGAAACGGCATCGACTTCACCTTAGTATAAGTATAAAAATTTATTCTAGACACATAAATACCAGTTCTTCTATATAAATCCATTTTCTGTACACATCTTTTTGCATGCTTGATCTGGTATCATTCACCAACATCCCATAAAAAACAAGATCCAAATTTTTCGAGAGGGAATTCTTGCTTCAGGTTGCAAGTATTGCAACCAAAGTCCGACGGTTTCTTAGCAACGCAACCCTTCACTACAAATGCTGCGAAAACTTGGACTTTAACTCTTGCCTGGGTACATACAAACATATTGAAAGAAAACATTCTTATGACCTTTTCCCAAGTACTTTCCCTTTTTCAGTATCTGTCGACTGGACTATTTGCATTAATGCCCAAAACTACGGTAACATCAAATGAATTATCATTCCGCCCGCTTTTTATTTTCTTTGTTTTGATAAATTATGTTATTTTTCTCACTTTAAAAACATATATTACTTAACTCCCAATAACATATATATTAGGTAATTGATGATAGTAGCAAAGCCATCGAATGATGCTCAGAATAAATAATGTTGTTATTTCAAAATGACTATCTGGCTCCCTCTCGCCACTTCGCACATCAATTACATTGTAACGCAACGGCTTAAGTGGCTCTGAGAGGCAACTGATTACAGTGCAACGTCTCTGACCGCGAGGTACTAGGGTTCGAATGCAGAGGGGGCAGGCTTTCAGACTTCTATAGCTACCGAGCTAGGCCAAGTTGAGACAAGTCCTAGCGAACGACTGCTCTAATCCGCTTTCCATAGTTTCTCCGAGCAGCACCAGACAAATACCGAAACGGGAACCTAACAAACGGCCACGAACCGTGCGCGATATTTCCTCCCTCGCTCTTCTTCTATTCTCTCCCCTTACACCCACACACATATATGCACTACACTATCGGACATGTCGTAAGCTTCGACCTCCACCCGACAGGGGCACGGGTGGGAGATACCTGGTAAATGCTTGTATATGTAACGTTAAAATGTCTAAATGTATTTATATTTCAAGGCCGAAAGGCGTGAAATAAAAAAAATTGCCACAACCACAACCACCACCATCACCAACCACCACTACCACTACCACTACCACTACCACTACCACTACCACTACTACTACTACTACTACTACTACTAATACTGCTACTACTACTGCTATTACTACTACTACTACTGCTATTACTACTACTACTGCTATTACTACTACTACTGCTATTACTACTACTACTGCTATTACTACTACTACTACTACTACTGATACTACTACTAGTCGCTACTAAATCGCTTTTGTTCGCTGCCTGCAGTGGGTACCTTTTGAAGTGCTTCCGGAAGGTGCCGCTGACGCAGTAGAGCGCGATGGGGTTGATGCAGGAGTTGCCGAAGCTCAGGCAGAAGCCGACGATGCGCAGCGCGTGCCAGCCGGCGTTGTAGTCCGCCTCGGCGGTGGGCGAGTGGTAGAACCACAGCATGAAGAGGTGGTGCGGGAAGAAGCACACCGCGAACACCACCACGAACGACAGCACCATCTTCGCCACCTTCTTGCGCGCCCGCACCTGACACCACCGCACATTACTTTTTGGTAAGAACTAATAAAAATATTTAATAACAATAATGACATCAATAATTCTCTTCTCACTGTTTATATGTTTATTGGCTCAACGGTTGTTCACAGATCGTCGGACGGACAGACGTTTTGCCATCAATTGATTGTTCGGTATGAAGGACCCACTAAACTTGGATTCTGGCTACATCATATATATATATATATATATATATATATATATATATATATATATATATATAATGTGTGTGCGGTGCTTTTTTCAAGATCGAGAACTTCAACACCGTTTCACCGATCTGGCACATCTTCGTGGTTTTTTTTAATGAAAATGTTTTTATGATGTTAATTTTGTTGTAACTCCACTAGCTGGCGTTGCAGGACTAAACAGTTCTTCAGTTAAATTCAATTCCCAATCCACCTGACCTTCGTTATTGCCGGGAGTTGCCTCATACATCCTTAACCGTGGTGAAAATCGTTGTGAGTGGAAGAAACTAACGATCTTATTTAATTAGTGCCATACGAAATTTTAGGAAGTGTAATTTCCAGGAAATGTAAGAGATAAAGTTTCGTTACCGTCTAAATACTCTGCTGATGACGAAGTACTACTGCGAATGGATATTACGTGTATAGAAAGCGGCACCGAACAATTATGGAGATCAATAAATGGAACAATTGTGAGAATTGAAAAAAAACTAGTGGTACTAAAACGACACATATTTTCTTGCCGGTGGTAATGTTTACGTAACACTATTTATAGCGCAATGTCTCTCCGAATTAATACATCTGTCATAATTTTTCGTAAAACTTAAATTTTTCAAAAGTTGTTCATGGCATTATATCAAAATCTATCGTCCAGTAACACATTTCATTAAGGCAAAATCTCTATATTTAATATTTTAATTGTATGAAAGACCCCCAAAACTTTCGCAATTCTTGCAAAGTCTGGGTTTTTAACGATTATGAGATCTGCACCAGTCTCTTAAGCGTTCTTTACACTTTCCAATAACAAAGTTTAATCAAAAACATGGAGCCATGTTTTTTAAAAAAATATCCCAGGGGATTCATTTAAAGTTCCCTCCAAAATTAAAATTTCGGTTTCAAATTCAAGGGACCGCGACATCAAACAGATTGATTGAGGAATATTAATTTAGGAGAAAATTAGCTCAACGGTTAAGCCTCTAGCGTTGTTCACAGATCGTCGGACGGACAGACGTTTTGCCATCAATTGATTGTTCATGTATGAAGGATCCACTAAACTTGGATTCTGGCTACACCACGTGTTAAAGGCTTGTTTTCTAAATTTAGCAACTAGATATACCCACTTTTTCGCTCCCAGGTTCAGGCAATAACAGTTTTTCGGCATTTTCCCGCAATATAACTTTTTCTTCTTAAGAAGTACCTTCTAAAGGACGAGAAAGTAAAAATCGCAATTCGTGTGATGATTTTCCTTTTCACAAGAATGTATGCAGTTCACAGCAAAATAATTCGATTTTCAAATTATGAAAATTTGCAATGTTGCTATTATTTATACCCACAAAAAATGAACTAGTAGAAGATTTATTCATCAATAGTGGAATATTAAATAAATGTGCTTTGGTGCAAGCCTCATTGTACTGAGTAAACCAGAGTGGGGTGTACCAAAAGACAAGATGGAAGAAACGACGACTCGACAGGGCTTGGGAGGGCAAAATGTGTTGGAAGGACGCCTTAGGATTGGCAAATTAATCTCCGATTAAAATGTCTCTGCACTTGGTGAGTTAACAGACGAGGCCCAGATATCTAAGAGGTATCTCAAAAACACTGAAGTACCAACAAGGCAATTAAAATGTTTGGGAAGAAAACTATTGCGGGCCTCATATCCATTTACAACTCTGCACTCAGATTTGGATATTTTCCAAATAAATGGAAAATGGCAATAATGTTGTTTATTAACAAATCACATTATGCTCAGGGGGACTTTTTGCAGAAAATAAAACAGACTAAAATAGAGAGTGAATGTGATTGTGTGTTACAGTGCGTGGCAGTGACAGTAAAATAAAATAAAATATATTAAAAGCCGCATGAACTTATGCATCGACCTAATACATTGGAATTGGACTACACCCGCCGCTGCACCCGTATAGCACCAAACCGAGAGAGGAGGCGCAGGGCATCGTCTGACGTCACTGCTGTCTGTGCCTCTAACGGGGGGGGGGGGAGGGCTAGGATGCAAGTCCCGTCAGTGGCAGGATTTCCGACTCTAATTACATAGCTATATCTATTTCAGCCGCGGTTTAGAGACGAATTATAGCAGCCGGCTCCTCTCATCGGTAGTTTTCTGTAGTTTCTTCGATCAACACCAGGCAGTTGTCGAAGCAGTTCCATATCAAACGCGCTATGGAGTCTCCTTACTTGTCCTATCATCACCCCTTACTTACATTGACACAATTACACATACATACACACTTACAGTGTCATTCACTACCCTACGACACATGCCTGAAGACCGGTCAGGAGCTTAGAGCTCGTCCCAGCTGAGGCTGTTCCCCGCTGGCGGGAATACCTACTTCGGGAAAACCCCGAAAGCAGACAGCAGGTCGGCGCCAGATCTCACCATCCAGCGGTGGAATCCCGAGGAAAGCATGCACTACACTTCGGGGACTCACGACCTTGACGGTTGACGCGCTCAGAATCACTCACAATGAATCAATCAATCAATCAATGAACCACCCATGGCACCAACCTGGTGACGCGCTGTGCCCTGCATCTCGCCGGGCATGTTGCGTGTGCTGTGCACGAGGTGACGCGCCATGAGCGAGTAGAAGACGCCGATGACGAGCAGCGGGATGGCGTAGTAGACGACGAAGCGCGCCTGCACCATGCCCTGCGCGTAGCCCGGCCCCAGCTCCTCCGGGAACGGGTAGCACACCTCCAGGCGGAAGGTGCCGTTCACAAACACGCGCAGGTACGAGTTGACGGCGGCCGGCACGGCGCACAGCACGGCCAGCATCCAGATGGCGGCTGCGATGCTAAGGGCAGAACACCGCACACCGTGTTATAACGTTGCCATTCGGCTACATCATTAGTATATGGCTAACATCCATATGGCAACCGCGATGATAAAGAAAGAACACCACACACCCTGTAATAATGTTGCCATTCGGTTACATTATTAGTATAAACAAATGAGCGATGAATGAAGTTGAAGTGAGCATTGAAAGTACATGGCATATCTAGCATCCAATGCCGGCCGCGATGCTAAGGGCTGAAAACCGCAGACCGTGTGATAACGGTGCCACTCGGTTACATAATTTGCTTGTATGAATGAAAGATTAAAGAAATTAAAGAGAACGCGAAAAGTATATGGCAGGGCTAGCAACCAGATGGTGTCCGCGATGCTAAGACCAAACGCCGAACACTGTGTCGCTAATCAGCTTTATCACGTTGAATGAAAAATGAAGTGTGAATATAGAATTCTTGCACGGCGTATCTTATGTCAGACACAACCACACAACCTGTACAGGTTTAAGTCTTAAATGGGGTTTTCAACCACAATTGTTCTAAGACTACGATGAATGGAAGTTGTTCTAAAACTTGTGTGAGTAACTTATGGTGTTTACCATGTGGTGATGATAGCTATTATAACGAAGATATTGTGATTACTTCATGGAGATGGTAACGATTGTTTGATGGTTTTGGTAATGATTGCTGAAAGGGTTTTGCGATATCTTAATTGTAATGACGGTGATCTCCTAGGGATATGATTACGTTATGGTGATGACGGTGATTACCTGATCATGATATATTTATTAGTGATATGATGACCTGATAAATGTGATGGTGATTATCTTATGCGGCGATGATTATCAGATGGTGATAGTAGTGATTACTTTATGATGATCATTGCTAATTACGTGCCGGTGATTGACTCAAGGTGATAGATCTAGCGATGATACTCTAATTGTGTTAGTGATAATAATATTGATGGTGCACGTGATAATGATTTCATCACGATTATCTGGTGGTGACTACATAACGGTGACGATTACCTAATGGTAATGCGGCCATCGCTGCGGGTGTGTAGCTTGCACATGGGCTCGATGATGGCAAAGAAGCTGTCTGCGCTGAGGGCTAGTGATTTCCTGACGGGAGCGATGTGATTACGTAATGGTGGTGGCGATGATTTCTTAATTGTGATTATATGGTGAAGATTATGATGACTTGATGAGGATGATGATTTTATGATGATGATGGCTTGACGAGGATGTGAACGTGATGACGATAACCTGATAAAAATAATGATTACCTTGTGGTGATGATTTCCTGATGGTGACACTGGCGGTTAACTCCTGGTGATTGGCTCACGGCGATGTTGATATTATTGTGTTAGTGATCATAGCGAATATTTAATATGTGACGGTGACCACGTGATTACCTGATGCGCGTGGCCCTGCGGCCGCCGCTACCGGTGTGACACTGGTGATTACCTGATGGTGACACTGGTGATTAACTGATGGTGACGCTGGTGATTATCTGGTGGTGACACTGAGGATTACCTCCTGGTGATTGTCTCATGACGGTGGTGATATCACTGAGTTAGCGATCATAGCGAATATTTAATGGTGAGCATGTGGCGTGATTACCTGATGGTGATGCGCGTGGCCCTGCGGCCGCCGCTGCCGGTGTGCAGCTTGCGCATGGGGTCGACGATGGCGAAGAAGCGGTCGGCGCTGAGGGCGGTGAGCGTGAAGACGCTCACCCCGACGGACACGTCCTTGGCGCTCTCGGACAGCTTGCAGATGAGCAGACCGTAGGGCCACGACTCGTACGTGTAGACGGTGGACGTGAAGGGCACGCAGGTGAGCACCAGCAGCAGGTCGCCCAGCGCCAGCGAGAAGATGTACGTGTTGGGCACGTTGCGCATGTTGCGGTGGCGCACGAAGATGAGCACGAGCGTGCCGTTGCCCACCACGCCCACCACGAAGATGAGCGCGAACACCACCGGCACCAGGTACGTCTCCAGGCGCTGGCTGTACGGCACCACCTGAATTGAGTTGAATTGAATTGAAGCCTTGTTTTACGTGGCGAGACTCGGGCCATCGGGCCTGCTCTTTCGTCTGGCCACGCTACGCTCCTTTCACCAACTAGCAGAGAAAGGAGGTATTTCTTGGGCGAGAAACCGGCGATTTTGAATTTAGCTCAGAGGCGTCATTTAGGCTTGAGGATATTATTTATTAGGCTGTCCGGGTGACGCCGCGTCCATGGCGAAGGTGCCGACGTTTCGGTCGCCATAGACGCGGCGTCACCCGGACAGCCTAGTAAATACTGACTCCGGCCGCGGAAGCCTACGCTCTAGGCTTGAGGATCTTTTACATGCAAGTAAATCTACTAACATGGGGCAACCGGCTTTACTTCGTCTCCGAAGGAACGCGTACGAAGGATTTTTTCGCCCTTACGGCTTCGATCGGGTTTGAACCCACCAACTTGGGTACAACAGTCCAAAACGTTAACCGTTACACCATCGCCGCGCGCAACCTAACGCACGCGACACCACTTATTTACAGCGTGCGTGGTGACGTGTTAGATTTTGTGGCACGAATGATTGTATCACCACGCATTCGGACAATCGCAGCGGGAAAATTGTGGGGAGATGGCTGTGAATGCTACAGACGACCACCATTTTCTCACACAGATGTCAAATACCCGAGACGTTAGAAGAAAGTGTCTAGATAACACCACTACCCAGGTGGGCCCGAAGCAACTATCCATTATTTCTACCCACTACTCTATTATGGTTTGCATCTCACATGAATTCTAATTTCCCGCTTGTGATATACATTAAACAAATTAGTAAGTTACCGACACACTAGAGTGCGTTGGTAAACTATCATCCGCTGTCAAATGTTAAGTTAAGAGTTTTGCTTACATACTTTCCTTGACCACGTTGTTGATATGTTGTCGGAAGAAAATATTCCTTTTTGTAGTTTGTACACAAAGATGGTACAAAGGTAGTTATGCGTGGAACTGATGAGTGGAATGAATGCGTCAATGCTGTTCCACCGACACGGAAGGTGGTATTCAATGTACGGAAACGTCTTGAGGCATTGGATATGTGATGGACTGCCATTGGTCAATAATGTATAGTGTCTTTTCGCTCACTTATATTTCTTTTCGAAAAACAATATAAGGTAACCAGCAAAAGTAATAAGGCGGCATTTAATTACCTAAATCATCGCCAAAATGATTATTAAAATAATATTAATAATAGTGTATTCAATTAGTTTATAAGGTCGAGCCTCATTGCATGAGAATGTGTTTTTAAATTGAGCGACTTTAGAAGAGAGTTTTCAAATTGGTACGAATGCAATAAAGCAACATTATAAACGACCATAATTCACCATAATTTATAATGCTGTAATACCATTTTTGGTATTACAGCATTATAAATTTATAAGACAAACTTAATTTCGAGAAACAACTTTCTTCTAACGGTTCGGGTATTTGACATCTGTGTGAGAAAATGATGGTCGTCTGTACCATTCACAGCTACCTCCCCACACCTTTCTCGCTGCGATTGTCCGAATGCGTGGTGATACAATCATTCGTGCCATAAAAAAAGACGTAAAGAAATTGATTTAATTCACTTCAGATAAATAGATCAACCTATTAGATATGTTACTGATATAATTAATGGTACTTCTTTCCATTGAACTGAATTCTGGTTGCAAACTTGTGGATTGAATTGTTCTTTATCGGGAGATCTCTTGCCTTTAGTTATCCCGAAATCGGCCAAACTGACAATGGCGCTTATACGCGTCACAGGAACCTCAAATTACATTTTCACAACAGCCGATGTTATAATTTTTGAGCAAAGAAAACGAATAGGCTATTCAAGAATTCTGGGGAGAACATTCTTGCAACTCGTAAATATTATTTGAAGTACCATTAAAATTATATTAAAATTGATGCAATCAGCGAAAAATGTTTTAAAAGAGAGAGCAAAACGTAAAAAAAACTTGTTAGTCGACGAAAAGTTAAAAAAAATAAAAATGGGTAATTTTCTTTTCCACTAACATAAAATTAATTTCAATAATAAAATGCAATGTTCTAAAGTGAAAAGAAAATAAACGGCATTGCATTAAAATCTGGCTAATTATGAAGACTTAGCGTCAGAGAACACGTGAACGAAAAGCCTCTAATATAGAGAGACTATAATAAGAAAGGGTCGCTTGGACAACTACTGTTTGGCCACTGCTGGTAATATAACAGCAGGTGGTGTCCACACACCCGTTTTGTCAGGGCGTTCGTTTACAGTTAGCTCATTTGTAAATGATTTCATCACTATCCCTTGCAGTGTCGTCGCCCTGCATGACATTCATTTGTTTCCCTACTTGTCAAAGTGGAACATTCTTAGAGTAACTCCTCTATAACTGTCGGCGTCCGTTAAGGATATTAAGAGCCCCTGCACATGAGCGTTGCGTTGCCAAGCGTTGCGGTAACTAACGCGCGTTGTAGAATAACACTGTATCTTATACGAAACTGCACAAGAGCGCATTGGACTTTCCGCATAATATACGGAGTTTATCTACGACGCACGTTAACTAACGCGCGTCGTAGATAATTAGGATTAAAACCCGCCGCCCTTTAAAAACTATCGATGGCGGATGAGAATCTATATACCAAGAAAATGTAATTATTATATGATGTTTTCTTTATAAGAGGGTGGTATTAGAGGATGACAAAGTATTGAACGACCCATGGCCGATATCACACATGACAGACTCGGTTGGTCGAATACGTTGTCGAATTGAACTATGAATTGGTTTACAAACGCGTCCGACATTTTCTCTACATCATCCACTAGTGACTTTAATAACTATTTTCCATCAAATGAAATGAAGAACCTGTATGGTAGATCTCCTTTTCCGGAATAATTAGGTCCGTCTGAATTACCTGTCATACGTTTACTTCCTCCGTTTTAAATGGGTCAACCGAGTAACCCAGCCCAAAGATTTTGCTCTTACGTTACAGCCTGTCTATGTTGCGTTGTAAACGAGCGTTAACAGTAGCATACTTGTGCGATTCCGGACGCCGAGAAACCACTGTTGTAATCTGCAAACATTCAATAAATTGCTAAAAATAATTAAAAGAAAAATATATTATTAAAAAAATAATCCTGCTTTACACAACGTAGTCTTAAAATATTCTTGTTCTTGAATTCAGTTCTTGAATTATGGCAAGAAGATAAGTACATTCAATATTTTCTTTGCTTCCTGACATTTTAATGAGGATCAGGCATCATTCTTTACTAAGGAATAGTTCAGTGTTGATATATTCAATAACTGTTATCATATCAATAGATACTGTAATGTGTTTACAGGCAATCCTAGCTGTAGGAAGGAGAACGCTGGATTTTTATGAAGCAATTGCACATTGCGACGGTTTTGAATTGTTTTATAAACGTATGGTAGGCGTTAACGGACGAAATTAACACTTAGAGTTAGTAAATGTTGTAATTTAAATTCTAAAAGTTCTAATCGCTGATAGGGCAACGTCTTTCTGAAACAAAAAAAACAACCACGTTGGGATGGTCACTGCTACACCAGGTTAATTTGAATGTTAATCCTAATATTTTCAGGACGGGGAGTTCAGCGGTCCTTCTATGATATTTTAATTTTTATGTCTTTCGATTGCGTTAAGAATTTGAAAATCATTGAGATTGTTGATAAGCTTTGTATTTAAAATACTGTGCACTTTATTACAAGATTTTTTGGATAATGTCTAATGACAGCTTCTTTGACAATGGATAAAAAAAATGCAAGACTGTTCGCCCGAAAACTGAACATTCAGAATAGATTTTGAAAATTTTTTAAGCAAAGGTATTTTATGTCTTAGTTTTAAACGTTTTAATGCATTTTTATTTTATGAAGATACATAGTCCTTCAGTTGACGTACAAATGTGGTAGATTTTTGATCAGGGGGATCTTGTAAGGTACTTTGTGCCAAAACTTTTAATTTTCTGTTTTTGTACAGTTTTGACTGGTGTCTGCTCTTTCTTAATATATTAGGGTTTTGTCGAATTCGACTCAAAAGGGTTTAAATGTTGGTTTAAATATCGACGTGTGTTCGGTTGACACTGACGGGCAGGTCCACTTTTATGGGTACGAAAATTTCTGCTTTTGTTTTTGAGTAGTTACTGTTTCATCGTTTAGGACATTTGATATTATAATTACAACACTTACTAACCCTAAGTGATAATTTCGCCTGCCAGCGCTTGCCAGATGTTTACAAAACAATTCAAAACCGTCGCTATGTGTAATTGCTTTATTGAGATGATTGCAACACAGGTTCTGTTAAGGTTGGAAGTCTTGAACGAGCTATAGATATTCGTCTTCATTTATTATTTGCAAAGTTTATAATTAGTATTTCTTTACTTCTTTCAGTTTAAGCCAGAAGACCAGTTTTGGCTTCACTGAATCGTTGCCTTGGTCGACGAGGATGTCTTTTTCCAGCTGGTCGATAATGGTAGGCTACTTTTGTGAGCGTATCATCTTCCATCCTTTGTAGGTGTGACCACGCTAAACATTTCTCCATTATTTCGTCTAATACAGAGAAAATGTTGAGGTCTTCTCGGATGTTTTTGTTTCTGAACTGATCTAGGAGACAATATTCTTTTACTACTCTTAAAAATCCCATCTCGAAAGCTTTTATATTACTACTTTTCTTTCTTGCCAATACCCACGTACGCGCCAATACCCCGTACAGTAAAGCTGCTACTGCCATTATTTTATATACTTTTAGTTGCGTCTCTCTTCTTGTCTTCTTCGAGTGTATTCGTCTTATTGTGCTGTAAATTTGTTGGAACCGATGGAGTGTGATATCGATGTCGTTCTCGTAATCATAGCTCAAATTGCAGCCAGGGTAGTTAAAATGTTTTTCGTGTTCCAATGTTGATAAACAGATATTTTTGATCTGACGAGGAATTTGCCTTGGCAAGTCATTATTTTACCTTTTCTGATAGAGATTTTGAGGTTGTAAGCTTTCAAGATATTACTCAAT